TGTCCACTAGACTCTCCAGCGTTGTCATTGAGACGGTCGCTCTTTCTTGAGGCAAGGTCGCCGTAAACCGTCAAGCACTCGACTTCCCATGGAACGCTCTGTGGATCAAGCAGATCCCTAATCTCAGAAACCACAAGGTTGACGAAGTCGTCCATCCCGCGCGTTGGGATTGATTCCGCCACTTGCGGACGGGAACCATAGTGATCCAGTCCAGATACATCTGATCTCGATTGGCCGGGTTGGAAAGCATGTTGGCTGCAGCATGAGCTGTCAGGTTGACCTTGAGCGCGCGGTCGAGCAGTGCTGCAAAGACTGTTGCAGGCGCTTCTTTGGCGCGGATGACATGGAGTGGCTGTCCTTGGAAGGCTTCACGGATGTGGGGCACCAAACGCGTAGATATACTTCGTAATGTGTCCAGAACAGGTTTGGGAACAACCTGGAGTGTCAAGCCCGAGACAATCTGCATCATTCGCTGATACAATATAAAGTCACATTCTTCGATCCAAGGAGCGACGCTGGCATTACCCAGAAGCTTTTGCACGGGCATTGTGAGTGTGCCTTGGAATGATGTGTAGAGGTGGAAAAACGTCTTTTCCTTGCAGTAGCGCACGCATTCGACAAGCGAAGTGCAGTGGGAGCGGTAGAGAGCCGAAAGACTCTTTGCAGCGTCAGGATCTGTTCCTTGCGGAAGAAATGGCTCGATCCGTGGTAGTGCGATGGCCTCTGACTGGTTGAACATGGCCTCCTCCAGCTCGGAAGGAAAGCTAAGTTCGAGTGAAGTTTTGCTGGTGGTCGTGTGGAGCTGGTCTGCAGAAGTGATACTTGGCATGCTATAGAAGCTGTGGGATCGGGAGTGACCTGATATAAGTGAAGCCGGGCTTTTTGCACGAGGCATAGAGTCGGATGGCGCTTGGCTATCTTTGGCGAAGGAAGCAGCTGCCGGCTTATTGGGAGCGATGCTATTGCTGCGGGAGAAGCTTGCGACAGCCGGAGCAAGGGGAAGTGGTGCTTCTGGCTCACGAATTTCTGGTTGGTCGTCGACAAGCGCGAAGTTCACGTAATGATACTTGGACTCGCCTCGAACGCCCAACCGCCTGGTCTTCAGTCCTGGGAATAAGACTCGGACGAGTTTGCCGAAACTTGCTGGGTTGAGAACTGTGATCCTTTCTGTCGCGCATCGCGACGCGTAGTTGGCGTAAACTCGACCGCGAGGAACTGATCCCTTGCCCTTCGAACAGACCGAATTGATCCACAACATGGCGAAAACCTGCCTCGTCCGTTCAGAGTTGGGGCCCCTCTCGTTTCCATGCAGCTCCTGAGCCACTTCTTGAAGCTTACGGTGCCTGTTGGCACCGAACAGATGGCGCATCTCAAGCTCGTTGTTGGCGCTTGACTTAGCAGACGTCGACTTTGCAATGCCTAAGGCACCAGCAAGCGAGTCACCCTCATCATTATCGTCGCGGTCAAGCATTTGACTGTCCTCCGTGAAGCTGTTGTTCATCATGCTGTCCATGGGTTGCGAGTGGCCGGAAAGCGACTGTCGGTGGAATGACATCGCATGATTGACCGGGGCATGCGTCGCGGACTGCATCGTGTAGTCACGAATGCCCTGCATTTGCGTTGCAGCCTGCATCATCATGCCGTCGGGAGAGATGCGTGGAGCTGGTGCGAGAGGTTTCGGATGCCTCTGATCGTTGTTTACCCACTGCGCTGAGTAGAGATCTTGCGCATCTGCGAGTCCCTGGTGGTCAAGTCCTGGTTGCGTTGTAGCTGAGGCTGTTGATCCTCTCGATTGTGGCCTCTTCTTCATGTGAGGCTGGACAATGCCGCCTGAAGGTGATCGAGTTAGTAAAAGTTGCTCCTAAATTGCGGGATCGCGTCTCTGAAGACCCGGCAGGCGACTGCCGTACCTTGATCCATGGTGGCCGAAATCGCCGGCTTGTGATGAAGCTATCGCTGCGACAATAACACGCGGCACAGGCAGCAGTCAATCGAGCAGACACTTTGAGCGACAACACAACACGTTGAAAAGCCCAGATGAAAGCTTGAAGCTATGAGACTCCTTTGCAGACGGTGCTGTGGTGTGGTGAGTGGTGCGCTGCGCGCTCTGGCCGGCGTTTCTGGTCTGGTGAGAAGGTTTGGTGAAGAGGAAAAGCGATGTTTTGGCGTGGGCGTCGAGTTGTTGTTGTTGCTCGGTAACCAAGTCCGTGCTGCAATTGGCCGAGCGGGCACTTTGCGGGTCTCAATCCTATGTGGCTGGGACACACGTGACGAGCCAACGACGTTACTGGATATTGCCTTGGGACATGCATCAGAATAGGCACGCTGGAATCTTAAGGCCCACCAGCTCATTTTAAAGATCGAGCGTCCTTCGTCACGATTCATGGCGTCCGGTCATATTGTCTGACTGGATAAGTTTCAGTGATGTGCACGCTTGTTTATGTTGTTCTACTTTTGTGACGAAGCCCGGGCCGCGGCCGGTGCCAATAGAGCGGATTGCAGCTTAACCTTGTCCGATTCCTCCCTGCACCAGTCCATTCCTTGCTGCTGATGGCGTCCAGTTATTGAGCGTAAGGTTTTTTTTGTTAAGTCCAGTGAGCCAAGACCTCATTAAAATGTACGACATTTGCAAATCTCGACATATGCAGGAGAAAGCCCCTGGGCGTTGTTGTTTACTCGCCTTACATCATGCGTGTTGTTGGGGTCTGTGGATCTCATAGCAAGCGAGAAGCAGCAAGCAAGCAGCCACCACACAGGGGGTGGTTGGGCCACAGATCGAGTGGCTGGCTCGTCCACATATCGGCCACCCTCTTCCCAGTGGTGTTGATTGGCCGGTTGCCGAAGTACCCGAGATCGTTAGGTGCCGCCCCGCCTCTATTTCCCCTCCCGAAGCTTGACGCAACCAGCAAGCTTGGGCCCGATTCCACCTTTCAGCTGAACACGTCGTCATCCTGCCCTCTCCCTCGCTCGCCAGTCGTCACTGTCTATCACCTGCCAAATTGCCCAACCCTGAGTTCGTCAGCCTTCCTGCATCTACCACTGCGACGCCTAGCTATTGCCCACCAACAGGTACATCCTCGCATCTTTTCCTCGCAGTATCTTTAAACACAGCTCTTGATAATTCTAAACATTGAAAAGTTGGTCATTCCATGGCTGTGGGCTTATCCTAGCCAACTTGGAACCACCGTGCTAACCCTCGCACAGCGCACAAACCCCCTCCCACGACATCATCAATCGACAAAATGTCTGCCCAGGATCGTGTCCAGAACTACCTTGGTCAGCTCGACAGCGAGGTAACAACATCTAGAAACACTCCAGTGCCCCCTTGTTATCTGACGATTCTCCTGTGCAGCTTTCCAAGTACCCCGTCCTGAACAACATTGAAAAGTCCACCAACGTTCCCAAGGCGTACGGCGCCATCGGCCTCGGCGCCCTGTACTTCTTCTTCATCATCTTCAACCTTGGCGGGCAGCTTCTCACCAACCTCGCCGGTTTCGTCATCCCCTGCTATTACTCCATCGATGCGCTCTTCACGCACAACACCAATGATGATACCCAGTGGTTGACCGTAAGCTCCTCAACCCCGCACCCCGCTCCCTGATGGCGCAATACTGATTATCGAGCAAACAGTACTGGGTTGTATTCTCCTTCTTCACGTGAGTTGATGCGCACTCCAAGTTGCGACGAATCCAGACTGACCGTAATGCGCCCCAGTATTGTCGAGAGCCTTGTCAACGTCGTCTACTGGTTCCCCTTCTACTTTGTCTTCAAGTTTGTGTTCCTCCTGTGGCTCTCTCTGCCCGTGTTCCGGTAAGTCTAGCTCACAAAAGAGATGCGCGTCCGTAACTGATTCGAATACAGCGGCGCTGAGATCATCTTCCACTCCTTCATGGCCCCCATGCTCTCAAAGCACTTCGCTGGAGGCAGCGCTTCTACTGCTTCCGGACTCCGTGCCAAGGCCCAGGGCCTCGACAAGTCCGACTAAACAAGATACTTTCTCAAAGCCATGCACACACATCAACTTGGGCATCGCCCTCTTGCCACGACGGCATTTTTCCTTTCCTAGATTTTGGCAGGTCGCTGCGTCATGCAGGCCGGTTCATTACGCGCAATTCGGCCAGGCAACGATACCATGAGGCGCCATGAACAGCATGGAGGTTATGAAACAATGTAAACATGAGGACGAGCCCAGTTCTTTGCAGACTGGGGTACGAGAAACCCACCAGGAGCCCTCGTTATCACCAAACACGCACTCTTGGTTTACAGTGCAACACCAACGTTGTTAGGATTATTCAATGATAGTTTGCTCTCAAAGCTAAAGACGACGAAAAGTGTCAGTATCGCAAAGTGGTTGGCTGTAATTATTCTCGTAGTTCTGGACTGCAAATGAGGTCGATAACGCAAATGTATGCTGCGACGGGAAGTAGAATCCGAACGCACATGTTACGAAATTGGGAGTTGGGCAAGTTTCAACCCCTGAACTTAGATCGAAACCAAGTCATGGTCGAGGCCCGCCTCGGTCTCTCAACAGCAAGTTAGCATAGTCTTCTCCTGCGTAAAAGGTGCATCTATACAGGAGCTAGGACTCTATCGCCCATGAATCGACAAACATCCCGACATATGTGGCTTAGCCGTGACTGCTGCGCCACACCGCCAGCAAGCACCCCTGTCGATGCGTACGCAACGCAATGTATGGGGTTGCTATTCAGCTGTTTGGACATGGAACGTGAAACTCCCTGATCTCGACATCCGTATTTCAAAAGACCCCTGATCCTCCATACCACCAGCACAACGAACGCGACAGGCGCGCAGCTTTTGATCGAATTCCCCGCGGCCACCATCAACTCCTAGGCATCCACCTCTCCGAACTGCGACCATGCCAATCGAGCATCATCGACTGTACAACCACTGAGACCCACGTCTCTGCATACGAACGATCTACCCAGTACACAACCGTGCTCTTCCAGCTGTGTTCGAAACGACCTTGGCAATAAAAATACATAGCATTCGCCCCTGGAGGGCACAGCGCTACGATGCAATTCACACCTCTCCAGTCCCGTCTTGTAGCATCGCTAGGCGCATCCGTCATGCTGTTGCTATTATACTTTTTGCTCTTGTCGCCTGGCTTCGCCCAGGCGCAACAACTTGCCGACGCGCCAGGCTTCTTTCTTGACGAGCGATACAAAAGCGACGACGATCTTGTCGTACCACCAGATGATACCAGCAAGCTCGACATCACGTACAAAGCCGAGTTCTCCGCCTTCGATCGCAGTATTATTGGAAGGGCACCACCAGGGGTGACAGGCCTTCTGAACAATGTCAAGGAAAATCGAAATGTTAGACCCGGGACGACGCAGCAGTTTGTCTTCGAGGCCAGTCGCATTTGGCCAGACGAAGTGGAGTCAGGGAACACTGTAAAGACGAGACACACGAGCAACATAACGCTTGCCAACGGGCCGTCTGTCGTCGACGATGACACATTTACCGAGGATGAGGGCGCCAGTGAGGACCTGGGTCTTCGTCGACGACAAGAACGCATAAGGACGATCTACATATCTGCCACCACCTGCATCCAACCGCAGCGGAGTGGGAACAATACATCCATGGATCCGCCTCAGATCAGTCTATTCGTGTCAACTTCCCTCGACAACCAACTCCCGGGCGCCGATAAGCCGATGGTGAACCAAACGTACAGGGCATTCGATGAGGGAGCGGTGATGCTCAAGCTCAATGCCACCGGTGATGTCTTCTTTGGCATCTCAGCTCCGACAAGCAACGAGGTTATGTTTGACGGCGAGTGGAACTTTGATGTGGCCGTCTCGACAGACGAATTCTATCACTCCTATGGCAATGACCAGGGAGGGCTTCTTTGGGTGGATAGCGACTCGAGCGCTGCGCTGCTCATTACACCAAACATGACGGACAGCAGCGACGCGGTCCAAATCCAGAAGATCATGGATGAGGGGCCGCAGTATGTCATGTTTGTGGAGAACGAGGATGGATGGCAAACAAGAGGCGTGCGTCATTCCATGTGCGGCCTCTCCAACTATGCGCAGATGGCTGCGAAAGCGGGCGGATCCTTCGGCGACAAGGCCACGACGGTTATGACTACGAGGGGACCAGGAGGCCTCCCAAAGCAGCAATTCTACTTTAATGGGTTAAACGCGAGCTCTTCGTACAATGGCTATCTCGCATGGACGGGCTCGGAGAGCCTTAAGCGACAGACGCCGAATCGTGCGGGAGGCGGGGGTAAGGTCTTCCAGAGCACGCAGTTCGAGACCAAGTCAGGTATGATGTGTTTCACTGGCTACTTCGCTCTTCTCACTAACGATTCGAAGGCGACAATTGCAAAATCATCACTGATCTTACATTTTGCAACGAGACTGAATATGCGGTCCCAGCAAATGACCAGCGATTCGACATTGCCGAGCTAGCTCAGTTCTATGACGATTATGCCAGGCAGATGTACGGCTACTTCGAGAGGCAACTCGCCCAGGTCGCCTGCGAAGCTCCATCGCACCAATTGTACTCCCTGGCTCGCGATTGTAGGGATTGCGAGGTAGCCTACAAGAAGTGGCTTTGCTCCATCACGATCCCTCGTTGTGAGGACATCTCGAGCACCAACGAATTCTCGTTCGTCCGGAATCTCAACCAGTCGTTTCCAAACGGCACCAAGGTTTCTGAAGAGATGGTTGCGCAATTTTCAGAGTTGGCGCACCTCAAGTCAAGAAATGATCGCATTGACGAGGAGGTAGCACCAGGACCATACCGCGAGATTCTGCCCTGCGAGGATCTCTGCTACGATCTTGTTCGCAATTGCCCATCCTCGCTGGGCTTCAAGTGTCCACGACCGAGGCAGCACGTGTTCAACTCGAGCTACCAGATCCGTGGCGACGGGCTGACATGTAACTATCCTGGCTCGGTGCACAATCCGTCGGGCTCATCAGCCCCCGCGGTATCCTGGCTGACGCTGTCATTGCTCGTGTTTGTTGTTTTGGGACTGACATCGGCCTGATCTACCAAAGGTCGAAACTGTCATTGGGGTTTTAATGATATGATGGCCGTACATAATGAAGTCGACGGGGGATGGAGATGAAGGATGGTTGGTCTATGCATAGCTCTGGCGTCTTGGGATACTTATTTGCATAAGAGGTTGCCACTTCTGTGCAGACTTCGCATATACTTAGATAGATTTTGACGGTTCAAATGAGACAAGGCGTTATGCTTTGTTCTTGTGCAATATATGGTAGTGATTTTGTGAAGAACAGTAAGGCACAGCCGACATGGCATGTAGCACTACCGGACTTGCATCGACGCGAGAAGGGA